ACACTACTGAACTGTCCACTTAAAAATAGTTGTGATGGTAAATTTTACTGCAATTAAATTAAAGAAAAAGAATTAGCTTCAAATGCTACCCATAAAGGAGACCCTGACGGAAGGGAAGTTTCATGAGCCCTTGAGCCTTATCATTTATTCATGCTTTCTGTATCAGTTACCTCTTGCTGCATAACAAACAACTCTAAGATGTAGTGGCTTAAGACAACCACCTCTGATTTAGCTTGTGATTCTGGTCTGCACTTTGGGCTGGACTCAGCTGATCTAGGTCAGGCTCAGCTGATACTGGTGGGGGCTGGCCAAGGTGCATGGCTCATCTTTGCTCCATGTGGCCTCTTATCCCCCAAAAGACTCACTCAGGCTTGTTCATAGGGTGGTAGGGGCAGGGGTCCCAAGAGAGTGAGCAAAAGCGAGCAAATTTTCTTGAGGCTGTGGCTCACACTCACACGACGTCCTTCCAACCACACTCCATGGTCAAAGCAAGTCACAAGGGCAGTGAAGATTCAGAGGGTGGGGAAATGAACTGCACCCCTTGATGGGAGGGGAGACAAAGAATTTTTGTCATCTACCACACCAGCTGTATATATGCCAGGCCCTGTGCTAGATGTTGAAGATAAAAATATAAATAAATCACAGTCAAGTGCAGGAGACATACACGTAAATAAGTAATTACAACGCACAGTGTGCTCTAAAGAACTAAGCAGGGGATGTTGTGGGAGCAGGGAGGAGGGTGAAGAGCCAGGGGATGTGGGAGGAGGAAGGGGAGGAGGCAGAGGCTGGGACACAGTAACATCTTAACAGGTGCTGCAGGACAAAATGGTAATTAGCCAGAAGAAGGAAGGAAGAGAGATTGGAGCAGAGGGCAGGGAGAAGGGACATGCCTGGGGCGCAGGGAGGCTCCAGCGGGGAGTGGGGGAGTCTTGCTTCCCCTGCTCAGTGTCCTTGATGGGTTTATTTAAGCAGGGAGGGGTTGCTGGGTTGCTGGATGGCTTAGGGCCAGAAACGGCCAGACATCCTCAGAGCCTGCTGCCCCTGACTCAGGAGACAGAGGGTGGTGGCTCAGACAGAACCCAGGTGTTCCTGAGGCCAGAAGAGAATGGACAGCAGAGATTTCTAGGCAGTAAAAGAGGCGGGCTTGGTGTGGGGAGGAGAGGATTCAAGGGGGAGATTCGGTGACCTGGACCTGTGCTTTCAGCCCAGCAGTCTGGCAGCAGAGGGTTCCCCACTGAGGGGCAAGGCCAAGGGCAAAGTGCAGCCGCTGTGTGGCCAGGCAAGGGCAAGGGGTCCTGCAGACACAGGTGGGGCATCCCACCCAAAACCCGGGAGGCTAGAAAACAGTTCCCTGATGTCAGCCAGCAAGGAAGGACCCTGAGGTCCAGACTTGCCCCTCCTCCACAAGCCTGAAGCAGCCAGATTCCGCAGGGTGCTGGGGTGCTACTGGGGTCTACCCCAAAGGCCCAGCCCCTGCCAGCCCCCTCCCCGACGCCCGCAAACTGCCCCAACTGGGCACAGCCCAGCTGGTTGGAAAGCTTTCCCAGGACCCCACGTTCCCCGAGCCCCTCACACATTAAGTGGTTGTCCTTGGCCGAGGCAGGGGCCTAGGCAGGAGGGCAGCTTGTACCTGGAGCCGGTGCTGGCTTCCTCCCGTGGATCCAGGGTCATGCTTTCCTGAAACCCAGGCTCTCTCTGGCTGGGCGCTCAGCCGGCAGCAATCAGCACATACCGCCTGATCAATACTTGGAATGCGCTTGGGGCCCTGCTGTGAAAAGGAATCCCCTGGTGAGCACTTTCATAAATTGAACATTTTTTTCCGAAACTGAGTAATCCTGCCCAGCTATTAAATCCAGATTTCCGCAAAGTGAGAGTAGAAAGCGCTTGCATTTAGATGGTGACCTGGACCTCCAAGCGCCCCCTGGATCCGGCCAGAATTCCCAAGACAGCAGGTGGCGCTGCGGGGCTGGGGCTGCAAATGGAATCTGCTGGGACCTTGGTTGGAAGTCGGAGCTTTCAAAAACAGAATGCTTTGGGGCCAGGAGGAGTGGTAGTTTGTAACCGCTGTGTTCTCCTGGCCCCCTGGGCCTGGTTAATTCAGCAAGCCTGCGGGGCTGCATCCGTCCCTCGCTGCAGCCTGACAGCGGGGAGGCAACGGAGCAGGTGCCTCTCGGTGCTTGAAGGGACTGAGCACCTAAAGCTGGGCAGCTTGCCCGGGATCACAGAGCCAATGAGTGGCAAAGCTGCAACGAGAGCCAGGATCCCGGTCTTTGGAATTCCAGCCCAGAACTCTTTCACCCCCACGTGACTTCACTCAAAAAGCTGACATCACTACCTGGCTCCTGTTTTGGGGAACGAATTCAGTTGGTGGCTCTTCTTGGAGCTGCTGTGTGTGCGTAGCAAGCAGTTGAGCCTTAACCCAGCCCGACCCTGCGGGCTCCCCCACGGCATCGTACCCCACCCCCCACCCCCGAGCCACGCGCTCAGGCTCCAGGTCCCACCGCCTCGCCTCCCGCCCAGGCCCCAGACATGGCCTCCTGCACTTCCCCCCGACACGTCCCACAGGCCCGAACCCCAACCCCAAACTGAACTCACCACCCCCTCCCTTCCCGGCATCCCTCCACAAGCCTGGAAGTGGTCCTCGCACCTGCCAGCCTCCGCCTTCCCTCCAGCACCGAGGGCCACAACTTCCCAGCCTAAATACTTGTCTTCCTCTGTCCTCCGTCCCCATTGTCGCTCAGTCCTTTGTCCCTTCTCACTTAGATCATGGAGCCGTCACCGCCATCGACAATGACATCATGCCTGCCACCCACTGAGGCCCACGGCTAACAGTTTACCATGGGCTAGCTCATTTAACTTCAACGAAGGAGAAACTGAGGCTTCTGGGACACTTTCCCAATGTCACGCAGCTGATAGGAGGCAGAGTTCAGGTTCTTCCCCAGGCCTGGCTCTGAGGCCCAGGCTCCCCCACCTACCTCCTGGCCTCCAGCCTCCAGCCTCCACCGTTCCTCCCCGGCCTGCCTCTAACGGGGCTGCTAGGGAGATTTGTCTGGCAACCAGATCCAAGCCTGTCACTCCCCTGAACAGAATCCTGTGGTTCCCTGGTGCCCAGAAGACTGAGCTGGAGCCCGCTTGCAAGGCTCTTCAGGTCTGAACCCACCTGCTGCCCCATCTCGTTGCTTTGTTCCCTATCTGCCCCACAGGCGCCCTCCACACCCTTCACCTAGTGCTTCAGGCCCTGCTGGTCTCCCTCGTCCTTCTGGAGGCCCCAGCCGGTGCCCCACACACACCCCTGCAGGTGCCCTGCCACGACTCCAGCTCAGCCTGATGTGGAGTTGGTGGTGTGGTCAATGATTCAGCTCTGCCCACACAACTCAGACCCCCTTTCTGCCTGTCTGCCTTGGTCTTCAGCAGAACCAGAGCCCGGTATGTCCTCACAAAGATGGACCTGCCTGACCTCAAAGCCCACAAGCCCCTGCCCATCCCTGAGCCTGAGCTCAGGGATTTTCACCAGGCTCTGGGAATAGCGCAGGAGCCTCCAGCTTCATTTTGCAGATGTAGAGACAGAGTCTGAGAGCACAGGGGCTTGTCCAAGGACATACAGGTGTCAGAGGCAGAGCTGGGCTCAGGAGGGAATCCTGACAGGCAGCCGATGTCAGCCCATGTGGACAGAGACGACAGGTCATGCTGGAGCAGGGCATGCTGGAGGGTGATTCCAGAACACCAGCCCGGGTGCAGCATAGACCTGAGGGCTCAGGGTGATGGTGGGGGGCTTGGAAGCAGGGCTCAGTTCTGCAGGCCCCCTCTCCCATTCACCTGCTAAAGAACGTAACCCTGCCTAACAATAGTCTAGGTCATTCTGGCCAAGAATCTGGGCCTCTGATGTCCAGCAACCAGCAAGTAGGGAGTCCATTGGGGACGGGCAGACAAGGCAAAGCTAGTGGGAGCATTGGTCATCAGAAGGCCCTAACTTTCGCAAATGAGAGTTTCTATCAGCGAATCAGGGTAGCTGTCAGGCTCTCCTCCTTCCCCATTCTGAACCCTGAGGTGGGCCTAGGAGACATCCCAGGTTTGGAGCCCACGGGCATGGGACACTCTCTGTGCCGGCCCCAGGTGGCCAAGACACCAGGCAAAGGTAGGTGTGCATCAGGGTTCAAAAACCCCACAGGCCACTTGGGGGGCACCTCTCCATGGCAAAGCCCCAGCTGAGGGCGGGAGTCCAGAGAGAATACCCAAGGAAATGGGAGGAGGTGCGCCCAGCCCCCCACTTCCTGGCAGCCCTCCCCGACAGTCCTGGAAGTGTGCAATGGAAGGAAGTGCTCTGCAGGCCCCGGTTGCACCCCCTCCTCCCTTGGGGCCCCTCTCTAAGAAGCTCACCCTGTGCCACGGCTTGAGTGTCTAACATAAGGGACGCTGTTTTTGCAGGTTTTGTGGTTTTTATTCCTTTGAACCATATCCAGCCCATCTTACATCACAATGCCATGCTTTACTTGGTATCCAATACATCAGCCCTCATTGGCACTTGGAGAACTTGTTCTGTAGTTATACGACAGTTTTTAGTTGTCTGTGATAATGTATTCTCTATGTTTCCAATTGTCAGTATGGGATTCTTTTCCCCCAGCCTTTCAATTTCTGGGTTTGAGATATATATATATATATATATATAAATATTTTTTTTTTGTATTGTATTGTTTTGGTTTGGGTTTTTTTTGTTTGTTTCTTTGGTTTTTTGTTTTTTTGTTTTCTGTGGGGTTTTTTTTGTTTTTTGTTTTTTTGCTTTTGAAAGTTGTTATTCCTTTGGTTCTGCAGCCCCTCCCAGTTGCTGCTTGTTTACGCATTGTTTGTGACTTCTTTTGACTGTCAGTGTTGAGCCAGTCTTGCCAAGAAACAGTATCAAGTATTTTCCTATTTCTCTACTTCTTGAAAAGAAAAAATTTTAATTAAAAAAAAAAAAAACTCTTAATGGGAACCTGGCCCTGTCTGTCTTCTCTGTTCTGCAGAAATGTTGAAGGAATTGAACCAGCAGCGCAGAGCGAAAGCGTTTACAGACCTGAAAATTGTTGTTGAAGGCAGAGAGTTTGAAGTCCACCAAAATGTTCTAGCTTCCTGCAGCTTGTATTTCAAGGACCTGATTCAAAGGTTTGCCTTCCTTCCAGCTGTGGTCGGGTCTGTTCCTTTGTAGGACGCTTTTGTGTCGCTTTTCTCCTCCCCTCTCTTGCAGGTTCCTGAAGCGTGACTCCCTGTCACAGAGCCAGTAGCCATCTCTCCTCCCCCCCCCACCCCCGAGTACCCTCTCACACACAGCCTCAGAGCAGCCACGGCCCCCAGCCCGCCCCCACGCAGCTTTGCTGGTCACCAAGGGCCTCTGCCAGCCGTAGACAACACCCCTGCCCCGCCCCGACGATCCCGAGTTCTCAGTGGCTCACAAGCCCTCCGTGAGATTAGGAGGGCTGTGGACTCCACTTTAAGGGACCCCTGCACACTGTCCCCACTGGTTCAGCACAGGGTCCCAGGCACCATCATCACTGCTGTCGATAGTGACCTTAATGCCAGGAAAGCACATCGACCAGACTGTCCCCCAGCTGAGGAACACAAGGTGCCCACGGTGCCGCTTTTCCACAGCTGGAGTCGGGGAGAAGAGACTTGTAGCCAAATCCTCATTCACGCTGCACGCCTCGATACTTGTGCACTGAGCCTAAACCGGCGTTGTCTGAGCACAGACCAGGTGTGTCCTAAACACGGTCTCTCTCAGCCTTTGCTCCTCCCCCACTCCGCCCTCCGCCCTGGCTATTTCTACCTGAATGAGTTTTAATGGTGCATGAGCATCTTTTTTTTCTCCATTATGTTGATTTTTTTTAATTTGTCTGCTTCATACCCTCGCAAAGAAGTCAGGGGCCACCTTCTAGCTCCTTAGCGAGGGAGAGCAGCCGAGGGGGCCGGCCCAGGGTAACGCTCCTGTTTCTCTCACCCATCAGCAGATTAATGCCGCTGCTCATTTTGCCTTGCAGCCTCTCCGGGGCGGACGCTGAGCCGGGACTGGGCTCAGAGTGGGAGGACAGGACCTCTGCTTGCTTCCCAATGCTGTTTGGACTTGCCAACTAACCCCAGAGTGACTGTGTTTTGTTTCAGGATGGCACACTGGCTGGCATCTCCTTTCCAATCTGTTGTGTCCTTTCACTTAGAGCTGAGTTGCCCGGCGTGCAAGCCCCACCCAGCCGCGCTGGCCCCAGCCATGCAGGAAGGGGCAGGCTCTTTGTGACTTCCAGTCTCACGGACAGCTTGGGCCTCCCGCCCCCAGTGCTTGGGTTCTCTCTGTCCGAGCACAGGGGTCAGGGGCATGAGCTCTAGCGTAAAGGGGCACGTCCAGTGGCTTCTTCAGGCCAAGGGAGGTCTTTGTGCTGCCACTCTTGGCAAATTCTGGTACTGGCAGTGACCGGCATCCTAGGGCCTTGGTCCCTGCTACAGACCAGCTGGAGAGCACAGAGCGGGCAGGATGCAGGGGCAGGTTGGTACTAAGTGATGGCCCAGCCCTCAGCTAGAGAGATGTGGGCAAGAGGAGCACAGGAGCCATTTAACTGTCTTTAGAGATGTGGGCAAGAGGAGCACAGGAGCCATTTAACTGTCTTTAGAGACCTTACACGTAAAGCCAAACTCTCATACACAACAGAGGACACCAGTTGGTGGGAACCCAAAGTAGTGAAGGCTTCTTAGGTCCAAAAAGAAGGAGGAAGAACATTCCAGGCAAGGGGTGGGTTGCCTGGAATGTTCTAGAAGACAAGGAATGTTCTGGAATGTTCTAGAATGCTCCAGACAAGGCATGGGTTGCTTGGAATGAAAAGCTGGGAAAGAGGCCGTCCTAAGCAGTGTGGAGGGGAAGATAGCCTTCCCAGAGATGGGTGTGAGCTGGGGTGAGATGGGCGGGCAAGTCCAACCCCTGGGCTAGGGCCCTGGGCTTGGTCTGAGGATGTGAGGACCAGCAGGAGCAGTGGGAAAGGGATGTCCACCTGAAGGTGAAAGAACTGTAGGATGTGCCTCAGTGGCCCTAACCAGAAATGATGGGCGCTGGAGCTAAGAGGCAGTCCCTAGAAGGGAGAGGGCACCCCCCTGGGAGCTAGGAGACCTGGGTTCTACACCTGACTCTGCCACTTGTCCTATGACCCCAGGCAAGTCACGTCCTCTCTCGTAGGCCTCAAGTTTTCTCATCTGTAAAACAGGAGGTTGGTTCAAACGACATCCAGGTTTCCTTCAGCTCCAACATCCCAGGGTGGCGGTAAGGGGATGGGCACAGCCAGCCCTGCAGAAGCTTCCCATGTGCAAGCCCCAGGACATGAGAACAGTGAGGTCACGGGGTGGGAGGCGGGTCCGGGGACCAGAGTCAGGGCAGAGCTGGGGGCGCAGGGGTGAATTGAGCGTCTGGAATGGCAGGTTTTAGTAGCTGAAGGATGCCCCAGTAGAGATCCCTGCGAGGCAGCCAGATAGATGAAAGATCTGAACGCAGAGAGGTCTGAGGTCTGGGGAGACCCCTTCAGCGTACAAGAGGCTCACTCAGGGAGGAGGGAAGGCTGAAGCCGAGCCCAGAGGCGCCCCTGTGGGCGAAGGTCACAATGTTAATTTGTGGCCGTTTTAAATTTTACTTCCCTCATCTTTTTTTTTTTTTAATGATTTTATTTATTTATTTGACAGAGAGAGACACAGCGAGAGAGGGAACACAAGCAGGGGGAGTGGGAGAGGAGAAGCAGGCTTCCCGCGGAGCAGGGAGCCTGATGCAGGGCTCGATCCCAGGACCCTGTGATCATGACCTGAGCCGAAGGCAGACGCTTAACGACTGAGCCACCCAGGCACCCCTACTTCCCTCATCTTAACCTTGGCATCCATCACCATTTCCCTCATCTTAACCTTGCCCATTGCTGCAAACAAATTCCTTCTGTGGGGAGGAAGGCAGACTCTGCAGAAAGGTGATTTCCTTTCTGGGCCATGTAAAATCCTGGAGAAGTTCACAGTCTCGGTGGTCAGGGAGCAGCTGATGTGGTTGCCCTGTCATTTCGGGCTGTGACCCTGGCGACAGTGTGCAGCGGCCAGGATGGCCCAGCAGGAGAACTGAACCTAAAGCAGAGGCTTCCCTCTCTGGCAGCTGCACTAAAGAACCAGAGGGAGGAAGGACAGTCTGTGTCCTGGTCCTTCCTTTCCTGAGGGCCTCTGTGAGCACTGTCAGGGCAGGTGACCCACTGCCGTCCCCCAACCCGCAGACCTGGGGGCTCAGGCGGGACTCCTGCCCACCTGCATCCTGGGGCTGGTCACGTGGTCACCACTCCAGCCCCCCGCCACACCCCCGGTGTGGACACCCTCACCTGGCACCACAGGACAGACATGGGGAAATCAAGTCATTCGGTCCTTTTAGCTCAGCACACAAGCAGGAGCCCCTCCCATAGGAAATCCTGGACGAGACAGGTCTCTGCCCTGAGGAAGGCCATAGCCTGATGAGGGGAACAGTAAAGAAGTAGGAGCAGGAGAGCAGACTGAGCACAGAAATGGGTATTAGAGGCCCCCAGGCAGAACACCTGACTGTGGGAAGAGGGGCGGTCAGGGACAGCAGGGGTGTCAAGGCCCAGCACGTGATTCAGCATCACTGGGGGGCCAGGCGCAAGGTGGCGATGCAGGGAAGGAGGCCAGCACAGGAGGCCAGAGCCGGCCCGCGGGCCTTGGCTTTCAGCCTGGAGGTGCCGTGGTCAGATGTGTGTTTCATAAGGACAACAGGCAGTGAGCGGGAGAGCCCGGTCTCACGGCGTCCTCTCCTGACCAGCTCAGCTGCCCATGAGCCCCGGGGCCAGGCAGATGTCCTGCCCGCAGTGCCCGTTCGCCAGGCCCCAGGCCGACCCCCACTCTGTCCACACACTCTGCCCTCACATGTGTGTGTATCTTTGGTGTGGCTGCAACAGCTTCTCTCCATAGCCTTCCCTTATTTCGTTTCAAACTCTTGTCTTTTTCCGCTGATGGGGTCAAGACCCAGCCCACATTGTAGAAATGTCTAATGTCATCCTGAAAATCCTCCCACTAACCCTGAAAAGCAGGTAGCATTAGTGTCCCCACTTTACAGATGAAGAAATTGAGGCCCAGAGGGCTTTAAGTAACCAGTAAGTCTGGGATGGGAATTGAGGTCTGACTCCTAAGCTCGTGCTCTTACCATCCATTTGCTAACCCAGAGAAGAACAAAAAGGTAGTCTTTATTTGTGCATGAAGTCTATACGGAAAGAAAGTGAAACTCGGGGCTGACAGTATGGACAGAGAGGCAAGGAAAAAGGATGCAGAGTTTGAGTGTGTGTGCACACGCGCCCTTGTGTATCTGTTGGAAACACTTGTAAACTGGCCACTGGATCTGCCCAAGAGGAGACACAAGTCCCACGTGAAACAGGTACCTAGGCTGAGGCCACTTGCCCCCTTACCCAGGAACAGGCCGTGTCCCTGGAGTGAGGAGCACGGAGGAGGCTCCGGGAGGCCATCGGGAAAGGCAAAGCCGTATTGAGACCCCTGGGCTTCCTCACCTCCCCTTTGCTGCCCCATCTGAGTCCCTGTGACAATCAGGGCTGAAAGCGCGGCAGGGAGAGAAGCTGTGGCTTTGTCTTCGGACGGTGGGAGGGATAGTGCCGCACCATCACTGCACCCCACCTGCCTCCAGGCTGGAGGGGGACCCCAGCACGATTGAGTGGGCTGAGCCCTGGGCTTCAGGAAGGAGGAAAGACATTTTGAGCAGACTAGAGTTTACATTTTGAGCAGACTAGAGCTAGTGGCATTTGGGGGTTATAGCCTCCCAAGTCCAGAGTCACTTCTCAACCCTGCTGAGCAGGACCTGGGTTGCCCTGGACTTTTGGGAGGCCATGAGGAAGTTCCTTCACTTATCCCCAGGAGCCGAGGAGCCCTCAGGGATGGTTGGTGCCATGGGAGGCATTGGCTACCCTCTCTGGCCAGGCAGCCTACAGGTCCCATCAGAGAGGACAGGGGTCGTCCTTCAGAGAGAGCAGAGGTACTGCCCTCCCTGCCCGAACTTCTGAACATGGCCCCCAAGCCTGGGTGTGGGAGAAAATGTCACGCCCCAGAGGAGACCTGCCCCCTCATCACACCAAATGGGATGTGACAGTGTGACAGTGTGACAGTGTGACAGGGGGGACAGAGACCTGGCATTCTACCTTCCAGCCAAAAGCCCCATCCCACCAAGTCTTTTGGAGCCAATGACACATTTGAACTCTATTCTCTTTTTATAGTAAATGAAAATAGATGGACATATTGATTTGTCCAAGTTGATTTTCACAAGCCCTGTGTGTAGGCTCTGGGTTTTTCCATCATTCTTTTGGGGGAAGCCAAAAGGATCTACCTAATTGAGTGGCACAGATCCTGGATGTAGGGTTGCCCAACAGATAATAGGCAAGCCATACACCGCCTTTCCCCTCCTTCCCTGTGAAGCTGGGCGTTTGTGGGTGGCAGTCTGACCGTCCCCCTTTCCTGGTAGAAGAGACAGGTGTGGCTGGAAGACCAGATAATAAAAGGAGAGACTCACCCATCTTGAAGGCCAGCAGAACAATGTGAGTCAGACCCATGGCCAAATCACCATGGATGGGCCAGGGCCCGCCTGAGCTGTGAAAGTCCTTGGGACCCAGTGAGGCTCACGCGTGCCATGTTTGAGCCCTGAAGCCTGAGCTCCTAGGCATGCAGTGGGGTGGGAATCACATCGGAAGAGTGGGGTCATCCTCCTGAACAGGTCAGGATGCCATCCATATTCACCACCCACTCCATGACTGCCCCCCCACCCACTACTGCTCCATGGTTCCCCCCCCATTATTCCAGATCGAACTTGCAAAATGCAAGCATCTGATTACTGAGGTGTGTGAGGGGCAGATGAGGGACTAAAGTCTGGAGAGGGCAATTCTGATCCAGGTGAGCAAATTGCTGATGGTGGGATCTCACATGGTCTAATATTGGGGATGAGGCATTCCTGGCACATCCACAGACCCAGGCCTGTCAAGCAAATGCTGTGTCCCATACCCTGTGAGAAGATGAGCCTGGGCAGTTTGGGTCTTCTGACAGAATCCACAGGTCCTGTGTGGGCTGGGCAGCACTGGCCTGCCCCACACGCCCATCCCCAGTGTTAGATGCATGGCCCAACCTGACAAGGCTACCACTGCCCGTTCCTGCCCTGCTTCACCTCCCTCCAAGATCATGTCAGGACCCAGACTGCCCAGCAGCTCCCAGTGCTCCATGCTGCTAAGTGGAACAGGATGCTTGGACCCCAAGAGCCAGCTTAGGACAGGGACTGAAAAGTCATCTGTGGAGGACACAGCTCCCCATCGGTGACCAGGGCCACCCATCATGGACAGTGCCTCCCAGGGGGTCCCTGCTCATAGGGAAGAGACCTAAGGAGCACTGAGGTCCAGTCCCAAGACCATCTGATGGTCAGTGATGGAGAGTTACCACCGGCCTCCCTCGGCCCCAAAGCTGTGTGGACAATGAACACATATGTGCAGATGAGCTACACAAGGCCTCACAGCCTGGGGCCTCACCTCCTACAGATCTTGAACTCAGCCACCCAACAAGGCCTCCATCACATTCCCAAGTATTCCTCCATAACCAAGGGGAATGGTCATTGTGCCCACAGCGCAGCATCTGGCCCCAGGGGCCTCCACCCACTCCCTGAATGTCCTTGGCCCAGCAGCCCCCAGCTTTCCATGGGGTCCTCTCACAGGGTCCTGAACAAGCAGAGATAGCTGTGCATCATAGGGAGAGTGGTCCTCGCCAACCCTGGACAGCACTTGTGATGGTCGACACCCCATGTGCCTCCTTGGCCATGCAGTCCCCAGGACCCTCTCCCTGGCTCAGACTCTGGGCAGGACAAGCATCTCCCACAAGAACAGCCACACACATCCCATCCGACCCCACACTCAGGGCCGTGGGCTCCCCTGGCCTTCCATCTGCCCGACACCCCTCCCCACAGGGTGATGATACTGGGGGTCCTCAGGGTTATGTGTCACATGCACTCCAGTGTGTGTGTGTATGTGTGTGTGTGTGTGTGTGTGTGTGTGCGCGCGCGCGCAGCTCAAGTCCACCCCAGCCCTTCACTGAACAGGATGATCTCTGTTGAAGAAACGTAGGTGGACAGGAGGGCCAGCCCGAGGTGGAGGCAGCAGTGGCTGGGGGGCCTTGGGAGAATGTGAGCAGCCTGACTTTGGCCCACAGGCCCTGCCCTGGCCGTGGCCTAGCGGGACCTCCGCAGAGCACGAAGGGCAGGAGGAAAGGCCAGGCAGCAGCATGTAGGAATGAAGGCAGAGACGGCAAAGCCCGAGGAAGAGGTGGACCAGATGGCCCCTGAGGCCTGGGCTGTTAGATTTCTGTGCTTTCAAGTGATCACATAATGAACTATTTTTATACTTAACAAAGTTATCCAGGCATGAAAATCTATCCCGACAGCGGAGGATTCAGTGTGTTAAGTCACTTGAAAAGTCACACACACCGTGTATGTCTATGGGTTTGAGAAGGGGCTCTGCTCAGACCCTTGGCTTAGCCAGCACTGTTCCCGCTCAGCTTTCCTTCCGAGCCTGGAGGCAGGGCCCCCTCGGGCCCCGGTGACATGAGCCATTCTGTGGGGAGGGGAGCCCTGAATGAAGTCACAGCTTCCTCTGTTCCCTGGCCCCATTATATTGGTGCTTTAAAAGCCCTTGGTGGCCAGATTGTGGAGAACGTTGCTCTCGTGGGAGCATTTCAGGTTCTGCTGGGTAGAGCAGTCTCCTGGGCAAGGTGTTTTCCAGCCTCCAATTTTAGTATATGTGCTGCCGAAGCGAGCACGTGTTCCAGCCTCTATCACATCATAAACTCTCCATGGGACTTTAGACTTCATGCAGTTCAATCCTCTTGTTTTGCAGAAGAGGAGCCTGAGGGCCCAAGAGGCAAGGTGGCCCGCCTGTCGGTGGCAGGGCTGGGGCACGCAGGTCCTCTAGCTCCCTACCCGCACAGGAGTCAGCCTCTCTTGGGGGCTGTAGCTGCTGGACACCTCCACACCCCCAGTGCCAGCCACAGGAGTGCCCAAGGGACCAGCCACAAGTCACCAGTCTTGCCCCCTGGCCTCCTCAGGAGTGGAGAGTTGGCAGAGGTCATTGCCCAGCCTCGGGCAGGAGCAGGCTCCATGCAGGACTGGTCAGAGTGGTGGAGATGGGGTGCCAAGCCAATCACCTCTGAAAAACCTGCCTCCTGACTCTTAACGCTCTGGGTGTCTTTCCTCCTGGTCACTTCTGTATTGGTGTGATTCTTGCTTCATCTTATCTGTTTCCTTCCAGGTCCAGCTTTAGGGCGCGGCTGCCAGGCCTTAGGAGCCTTTGCAATGGTTTCGTATTTCTGTAGACACCAGATACGAACATATTTATATATTTGTGTCCCTCCCCTGCTCCCCCAGTTCACAAGCCCGATGCACACTCTACACGCAGGCCACTCTGACCTCTGACCCCGTGCTCCATGTGGCAGGAGGGCCCCGCCCCGGGCCAGGTCCCAGGTCATGGCTGCTGGCTATCTGTGGCGGAAGTCCTCGGTTGTCCCCTTCCCCTCCCCCCAGCTCTAACCATTCTGTCCGTCTATCTCGTCTCGTCCTCAGTTTCAAAGCAATGTCATGAAGGGCTTCCTTTCCATGCCTAAAAGGAAACAATATGTTTTGGGAAGTAGGTGGGGTTGGACTCAGGGTTCCGGGACAGCTTGGGGCGATCGAGGGGCGTCTCCGGATTGGCTGTGTTCACAGCCGGTTGGGAGCCTCAGTCACACAGGCGGCTACCCCCACCGTGGAGGCAGCCAGGGGCAGGGGGCCCCCCTCCCCGGGCCGGGACCTGCTGGCCGCGTGTGGCCGAGACGCGGGAGCCAACCGCAGGGCGGAACCGTATTGTTTCCCTTTGAGGCCAGTCCTGGTCCTCGTCCCCATCCACGGCTCATGCTTTTTGATTTGCATCTTTTTTTGCATGGACATGCCAAGTAGTGATAAGCAGGGTTTTCTGTTCTTTTGGGCGTCTCTGGTCAGACTCTTCTCTTTCAGATCCTGTGTAGGTCGTTAGGTTCAGGTGTGTCATTGCTGTGTCCCTTGAGTCCTAAAATGAAGGGCGTGACCGAGGCGTGCAGGGAGATCTAGCCCTGTGAGGAGGCGGCGCCGTGGCCGCAGCCGGGCAGGTAAGGGACACCCTGGTCTCTGTGCCTAGGTCGGTGCAAGATGGCAGCCAGTGCGGCCGGGAGAAGCTGGAGCTCGTCCTGTCCAACCTGCAGGCCGACGTCCTCGAGCTGCTGCTGGAGTTCGTCTACACGGGCTCACTGGTCATCGACTCAGCCAACGCCAAGACGCTGCTGGAGGCGGCCAGCAAGTTCCAGTTCCACACCTTCTGCAAAGTCTGTGTGTCCTTTCTCGGTGAGTCCGGGGCGGGGGCGCGTGGGTCGCCGCATGAGGGAACAGCCCCGATGGGCCCCAGAGTTTGAAAATAGCCAGGATCTAGAGGGGGAAAGGCTGCGTGTACGCCTCAGGCTGCCGCTGGACCTCACAAGGCAGTTTGAAGAGGAAACTTCGGATAACTGTAGGCACCGGCACAGACCTGGGCACGTCCAGGCTAGAATAACCGTTAGCCAGACCTCAGGAGAGCTGGCGAGGCTGTTGTCGGGCCTTGAGGCCAGGTTGGGTGAGGCTGAGGCCCATGGGAGGTGGCGGGTGGGCATATGGTGCTACTGCTGGTGCGACCCTAAAGTGGGAGCCTGTCACAGAGAAGACGTGGTCAGTCTCCGCGTGACCCTTGGCCCCAGCCCAGGCCCAAGCTCTGAGGCCCACAGCCACGAGGAAGCCCCACGCCCCGCACTGACGCTCTATACCTCACACTCTCCATCTTTCTGCCGGGATCTGCAGGAGCAGAGGGAGGCCCTGGGGGAGGCAGTGTGAGATGGGGCGGAGGAAAAACCCAAGGGTAGATCCACAGCTCCAGGGACACCAGAAACGGTCTTGTGGGGACCCGGATGCTGAAGGCAGGTCACAAGGACATGGGCTCAGAGAGCGATCCAGAGTGTCAGGCGATAGGAACAGAGGGCCACGCTTCCAGAGCCCTGTGGTCAGTGGTCCTGTGCTCTTGCCCCCAGAGAAGCAGCTGACGGCCAGCAACTGCCTGGGGGTACTGGCCATGGCTGAGGCCATGCAGTGCAGCGAGCTCTACCACATGGCCAAGGCCTTCGCGCTTCAGATCTTCCCCGAGGTGGCGGCCCAGGAGGAGATCCTCAGCATCTCCAAGGATGACTTCATCGCCTACATTTCCAATGACAGCCTCAACACCAAGGCCGAGGAGCTCGTATATGAGACTGTCATCAAGTGGATCAAGAAGGACCCTGTGGCCCGTGCGCAGGTAGCCCCCCACCCTGCCCGCCACTTCCCCCTGGGTCTGGGGTCCCCTTGCAGGGATGGCGTCTGGAGCAAGGCTGAAGGGAGGTGGAGGTGGCAGGACGGCCTGCTCTGACCATCAGTGGGAGCATGTAGGAGCCAGTAGGCCTGGGCAGAGGAAGGCTGGAACGGCTCCTGTGGGCCGCAGAGAGGTGCAGGGAGGGAGGAGAGGTGAGAAGTCAGTCACCAGACGGTTCCCAGGGCTGGCCTTCCACCTGAAGGAGACTCAGGCCAGCCAGAGGCCGCAGGGCCTGCAGGGAGAAGCGGGTGCCCTGGGGCTCCCGTGAGCTCAGACCCGGCAGGAGCAGCCCCACCAAGGCTCTGCTTATTGAGAGGGTGGGGAGCACCTGGGCCAAATGGAAACCGTGCTGGGGATGGGAAGCCACTGTACACGTCATGGGAGGGAAGGCAGGTCCCTCAGAGGGGACAGCTGGGGAAATTGGAGCCAGAATCCAGGGCAGAAGGAAAGGAGGGCAGGGTCCCCAGGAGGGGCATCCGAGTCACCAGAAATCAGTCACACCCCAGCTGAAGGCCTCGCTCAGAATGGAACCGCCTTGATTCTAACGTGTGAGGGGCCCCCAGGAGTTAGTGCAGACACAGGTAGCTCTCAGGAGAGCTCAGAGTCCACCTGGAGAGCCACAAAGGGGAGGCCAGAGTCGGGGAGGCCAGGGCCCAGAACACCCCGAGGCAGTCGAGTGGCAAATGGCAAGGGAACTTCGTTGTGTGGGGAGCAAGGAGTGGCACAAGGGAGGGAGGGTGGGCCAGGCGCTGGGATCAGCAGCGTGGGGCTGTCCACCCTGGCCGGGCCACTGAGCCCAAGAGGAGAGGGTCCTCTGATCAGGTGGGGAGGAGGCAAGGTTCGTTTGTGGAGGAAGGCAGCCAGTCACCTTGGGCAGCTGTGATGGTGACTGCCATCCCCCACAGCCCCACCTCTGTGTCTCCCGCCCAGCCCTCTGTCTTTGATTGTCTGCAGCACACCTGTGGCCAGCATCCCCCAGCCCCTCTAATTCATCCACGTGTTCCTTCCTTCAGTTCTGCGCATTACACACAACAGAAGCCTGGATTCCTCCCACCCCTCCTGTGTTGCGTCGGGCCACAGGCCACCGTCACTTGCCGACTTCCTCTCCCCAGTCAGGGCCCTCACTGCACCAGCATTGCTGAGGGGGTCTCCCGAGCGGCTGCCCTGCCTTCTGTCTTCTCCATCCCCAATTCAGTCCCACCCCGCAGTCCGAGCGAGCAGTCTTCCTAAAGAACACATTTGATGGTGTAATGTCTTTGTCCAAAGCCCCCTGGGAGCTCCGTCACGCACCCTGCGGGAAAAAGCCCACCAGCCCTGGCAGGCAAGGCATGGGGGCGGTCAGGCTCTGGTCTCCTTCACCTCTCCGGTGTCACTTCCCCTGTCCGCTTACCACGCCCCCCACCCCCCCCCAACAAGAACCAGCTCCACAGAATTCCCCAGATGCACCTTTCTCCTTCATGCTCCCGTGTCCTTGCGCGTGCTTCGGGCGTCCTACCTCCTCTCCACCTGAGGCCTGGAGAAACCTGCAGCCCTTGCGCACCCAGCTCAGCCGGCATCCACTCTGGGAAGCCTCCTACCCTGCACACCCAGAACTCCTAACCAGACTCCTCCTCGGGGCCCCACTAGCGCCTTCTACGAATGGATCCTCCCCCAACGTGCCGTGGTACTGCGCGCACCCGAAGCTCAGAGACTGGGGCTTACTGGTCTTACCGACACTCCCACAGTAAGGGTGTCACCAATCATTTGTTGCATGAAACTAAAGCCAGTGGTGAGCAAAGAGTTTGCCAGGCAGGAGGGGATTCGAGTCAGTTCGCGCAAAGCCTTCAGTGCAGGTGAGAGGGTCCGGGTGCCAATCTGAGGCCGTGGGATGCCCCTTAAGGGGTTTGTAGGCATTGGGGAGACTCAGACTCTGAGGGGTGTGACTTGCAGGCCTCATGGTCACTCTCAGCCTTCCTGGGCCCTCCCACCTGTTCCTGACTCCCTGCCCTATGCACACCTCTTCAGGGCTCAGGATCCTCACTTCGGTTCCCCCGCAGCCTGGGGTGAAGCCAAGGCCGGGGACCTGGGAGGAGGCAGGAATGAGGTGCCGAAGAAGCAGATGGATGGTTCGCCCCAGGGTCAGCTGCAGCACACCCAACCTCCCCCATTGCTCTCCTGTGGCTGATGGGAGCCCCCCCATCACTGTCTAGGCCGGGGTGAGCCGTGTCTACACTCTCAAGCCAAACGCGGACTGGAGTTACCTGGGCCGTGCAGTACCACACCGGTCCTTCCTGTCTTCCCAGTACGACTCACCAGAGGGGGCTCCATCTGCATAATCTCATCTACCCTGTGTCTCCCTGACCCTGCAGTATGCAGCGGAGCTCCTGGCCGTGGTCCGCCTCCCCTTCATCCACCCCAGCTACCTGCTCAACGTGGTGGACAACGAGGAACTGATCAAGTCGTCAGAAGCGTGTCGAGACCTGGTCAACGAAGCCAAACGCTACCACATGCTGCCCCACGCCCGCCAGGAGATGCAGACGCCCCGAACCCGGCCCCGCCTCTCAGCAGGTATTGAGGGACAGGCCCCGAGCTCCCCAAATGCGGGTGCCATGGGGTCAGCCCGACTCTGGGCGGTCCCCACCCGGCTCCTCCACGGGAGGCGGAGGCTGACAGTGTTGGGATGTGTCCGAAGGCTGGGCATCTGTGTCCCTGCAGGTGTGGCAGAGGTCATCGTCCTGGTTGGGGGCCGTCAGATGGTGGGGATGACCCAGCGCTCCCTGGTGGCCGTCACCTGCTGGAACCCGCAGAACAACAAGTGGTACCCCCTGGCCTCGCTGCCTTTCTACGACCGAGAGTTCTTCAGCGTAGTGAGTGCTGGGGACAACATCTACCTCTCAGGTGAGGCCCCTCGGGGCTGGGCTGGGCGCCGGGCACAGACTTCCCAGGGGCTCCTCTCCCTACGCCAGGGCTAAGGAAAACCAAGGCCCAGAAGGGTCCACTTGGCGGGTGAAACCTTCTCTTCCTGCCCCTGGGGCTGGGCCAGCCCGGCCTTGGGCCCCTCCTCACTCCCCGCCTGCTCTCTGGACCTCCCGTACCGCCTCCAGGTGGCATGGAATCGGGGGTGACGCTGGCCGATGTCTGGTGCTACATGTCCCTGCTCGATAATTGGAACCTTGTCTCCAGAATGACGGTCCCCCGCTGTCGGCACAATAGCCTCGTCTACGACGGCAAGATTTACACCCTCGGGGGACTTGGCGTGGCAGGCAACGTGGACCACGTGGAGAGGTAATGAAGCCCCGGTCTCGAAAGCCAAAATCATGTCGCTCCTCCCACCCAGCACCAAGCCAGCTGAGGCCAAGGGGAGACGGGACATTTATAAGGTGACAGTCGCAGGCTCTTCAAACACAGCAAAGAGGAAGGCCTGAGGGTGGTGGGAGGGCAACAGGAGGATGAGCACTGCCCCACCCCTGAGATGGGGCACTCTTGTCCCATTCAGGGGTCAGACAGGCTGAAGGCAAGAGATGCACTGTGGGCTTGGCTGGCCTGCCCAGGCAGCTAGGAGGCACCCCGGGACTGGAAGTACCAGCCCAGAGACTCGCGGGGGGTGTAGGGCAAGGCTGCAACGGATGGCCCACATGGGTGCCTTGTCCGTCACTGTGCCTCCATGTCCCTGCCGAGCTTGGAGGTCCCACACCGGGGAGCCCCTTCCTCCCTCTTTCCCACCCATCCCGGGAAAGCTGCTTGCAGCACGGGGAACAGTCACTGCACACAGGTCTGACCAATCATCTGGAATTCTCCAGAAGGGGATACAAAGCAATGGGCCAGAGAACGGTGCATGTGAGCCTGCCCTCTGCTGGAAGTCCCAGGCTGGCTTCCTCACTGAGGCCCACGGACAACTGGCCACACAGAGTGTAGGGATCGGGTGTAGGCAGGGGGAGCACAGGCTGAGGCGGGCACTTCGCAGGGTGCAAATACTCCATCTTTCCTTTGAGCTGGAGACCATTCTTGCCGAGAACAGACACCTGGGGGAGAAGCCACAGGAAGAACTCAGGAAGGCTTGTGAGTCAGCAGCAACCAGGGGAGGCCTCAGAGCAGTCCCGCTTTTGGAGAAACTAGTGCCCCCAAGGGAGGGCAAGTTAGGCTGAGCTGGCCCCAAGTCCCAACCCAGGAGGGCGCAGCTCAGATCACCAGAGCCCTTTCTCCACGTCCTCGCCTCCTGCTTGCCCACCACCCTTGGCCCACGTCATCAGCTGTCACGGAAATCACATCTTCCCATGTGACAGCATTTTGCTTATGGACCCACACGTACCCCTCAATTTGTATTTTTCCCTCCGTGGCTAATTGGACACTTGACAAATGTTACGGCAAAGATAGTTCGGAGTGAGACAAGCTCTGGATGTTCACTGTGGGCTTTTAACTCCCCCAAGTGGAGCCCAGAGATGGCTCAGTAACGACATTTAATTGTCATATTGATTTGGAGTTAATGGGGAATCCCTGTGTGATTATGAGGATATTAACACTGCAGCTGAACCTGGGTCAGCCCTGATGCTGACAGCCTTCAGTCGGGCCCGCTGCACGGCCCTCACGTCCCAGGGCTTCCAGAAGCACCAGCTTCCAGCCGTTTGTCATCCAATAATAAACACATGAAAAAGGGGAGGTTTTCTATGTAGGAGTAAACTGAGCTAGATCTGTCATCCTGTCTTGCTTTTGTCAGCTATTTTTAATCTCCTAAGATGCTGATTACTCATTTTGCAAACTTATACTTGTTGATAAATACAGGGATTTGTTCAAGGATCAAATGCACCAAGAGGGGGGAGAAGCTCCGCTCCCCTTGGGCTCAGGACCACTCCTCCAAGGCCTAGTAGCAGCCTCTCTGGCCTTCCCCGGGGGGCTGGGCCTTTGTTCCACTAAGAAATATCAGCTGGGGCACCATGTGAGCAAGACCAGCCCGGGAACCTCAGCAGATGGGGGAGCCATCCAGGACAGCAAGGTGCCCTGAGCCCTTCCTCAGCCCTCTGATATCTGGCGGCTGTCCTTGCAGGGACAGGACGCAGACCTGAAGACCTCTGGGTGGCGAAGTACACAGGTGGGGTGGAGGATGCAGGCAGAGGGGACACCCACCGCTTCCCGAGGAACATAACCGCAGCCCCTTTGGGCAAGTAATTTCTGCACCACATGGTGGCAATGATGAGAATTCAGGGTGACAAGAAGGTCGGGGTAATGGGGACAGACGCGAGGGTGCTTTGTTCCCCAGGAAGCACTAATGGTACAAATTGCTCTTATATTGATAATGAATGAGATATATGGTACATTATAATTATATTACATTACTGTATTACAGGAATAGAGCAAGATTATATAATTATAGATTAAAACAACAGTGCAGTAGACAAACCTGTATTATATCATTATATAAATAACTGGGTCTAATACTTCATAGCAATATATTGCACTAGCTGTGGTTCCCGGATAAATGATAGCAGAGAGCCTCACTCCACAGGGTCATTTGCATGTCATTAGCATATCCTTCTCAAGCAGGAAGCTGACAGATTGAGCTGACGGAGGGCTTGTGGCTTGGCAATCAGCCACCTGGAATAACAAGCTCTCGGGAAATTCGCATTTGGCGGAATGTGCCATTATACCGAAAGTCTGAAGACTAACAGCCACATAATCTTCCACTGTCACCCAGCTCCTTCTACAGGAGCTCTTTGGATCTCTGCCATATTGGCTTAAAAAACAGCCATCTGAACTTCTGACACTGTCCAAAAAGACACTTACTCCATTGCCTGTTAGCCACATATCCTTCGTCCGGGGCTTAATTGAATCAGCCCCTGCTGCCCTGTAAGGTCCTTCAGCCTCTTCTCAAATCCTGAGTCTTTGCAAGCACAGAGCTGGACATGTCGCCACTGCCCCCTCATCCCTGTCTCAGAGCCAGGGGCACCAGCTAAGAGAGGCCATCTTCTGGATCACTAAGCCGTGACCTTGTTATGGCTCGAGCCCCAAGGAGCCTCATGGGGAAGAGTGGGCTCTGCGTGCTTCCCAGGAAAGGTGTGCTGGCGAAAACCCAGCCCACAGTGGAGGCCCCGCCTCGGGTCCAGAACAGGCGACCGAGCCATGCGGTGAGCGGGAGACGGGCCACCAAGTAAGAGGTCCAGAGTGAGCGCTTGTAAGAGCAGCCCCCGGGAGCAATTGACAGAGACGCTGAGAACGGAGACCCAAAAGCCACCCGGGAAGACGTCAGATCTCCCAGTTCCTTGGCCAGTCTGCTAGATCCCAAGTCTGTCCTTCCCAGCTGCTTTCTGTTGTCACTTTTTCTCCCGCTTTGTCTGTTACTCACATTCCATCATTTCTCCATGCTCTTACTTTGTCCTGCCATACATACGCCACAGATCTCTTCAATCCTGTAACTCTGCCCCTTCTCCGTGCCTACCCCTGGGGGCTTAGCGCTGGTGGAGAAGATCCCACCATCTCGTAGATTGGCCCCGCCGCAGACTGAAGTCCTCCGACGTCTACTGCGTCCTTCGTGCTGCAGGGCCCTTGTCCGCAGTTTGACCCGCTCTCAAGAGCATGTGTTTCTCATCTCCTCCTCCCGCATCAAGGCTCTTATCCCACGGATGCCCATGTCCCAGCAGCGTGGGCTCCTGCTTCACAGAGCAGGTGGCGCCTTCAGTCGAGAAGTCTCTCCTCTCCCTGCCATCGCCGCTGAGCGTGGACTGACTCACGCCATCCTTGCCTCCCCGTCTCATGCCCGCACGGACACCACTTCCCTCTCCACTCTGGATCCAACCTGCATCGCCCCCACCAGGAGCCTCCCTTTATCAGCTCTCCCCGCTCTTTCATCTGTATTTAACCTTCCCTCACCCATTTGGGCTCCTTCCTACCAGCCCGTAAACACAAGTAAACCTTTCCCCCTAAAATTAAAACAAAACCCACGGTGGGCTGGAGCTCGTTCGTACTGGCTCCTGAGAGCTATTACCTTTTTTAGTAACACTGCAAGCCAGTTGTTAGTTACAGGTATTATTAAAAATTAAAGCGAATAAACTTAGAACTAAATAAATTATATTAAAAACAAAGGTAATCCATACTCAATACACATCACTACTTTTTTTTTTTTTTTACCATATTCTGTACCGTCCGTGCTCTGGAGGTTAGGTGTGTCCGCTGTGTCGGTGTGTGGTGGGGGTTCTGTCCAGCGGTGTGCCGCTGCGCATCTCCTCCTAGTGCCATGTTCAGCCATGTGCCATTGGTAGCTTGAAATCAGCCGAGAGGATTCACATCACAGAAATCAGCAAGTGCTACATAGCTGGACTTTTTCCCCGGGGAGCTTGTTTTTAAACATTTATCAGCATGCCACCAATGAAAGCCATCTCTTAGCTCCAAATGCCTTTCTAGGTTCTACCTTCTCTGCCCCTTCTCCCAGCTGAGTTTCCTCCGAGGCAAGTCTCTAGCTGTCATGCCCACCGCCTTCCTTCCTTTTCACTCCTTGATATACATATAGCTCTGCACGTTCCATTCCACTTAAAGTGCCCTTGACAAGACCGCCAGGAACCTGTTTGGGACTTCTTGACTTGCCACCACATCCCCCACCCATGGGGCTGTGCCCTCTGTAGTGCCGCCACTCCTCCAAGGACCCCCTCAGCTCCCCTCAAAGGCCGGCGTTTCCCCCAGAGCGTCCTCAGCCTTATTCTCACCCGCCCGCTGCCTGTGAACTCCCTTACCTTCCGTTTCCATCGCTGTGCCGGTGATCCCGAAGCAGAATGTATAGGCTGCACCTCAGCTGCGCCCCGCACATCCCCAGTTGGTTACCCACGGGTCCTTTAAACTCCCCATGAATAAAGCTGAAATCATCTCTCTCCTCCAGACTCCCCAACCTCGGTTCCTGTCCCCTGAGTAGTGCCCCCTCCTTCCGATGCCCCTCGCCTGAGACCCTGAGTCATCCTAGGTAACTCTGCCTTCCTTAGTGGCAACATCAGTTGCGGGTTGAACCCCGTCAGTTCCCCTCCCCTTCTGGTCCCACTTCCTCTTGTCCTTCCCTGGTCCAGCCTGCTCTTTCCCCAGTTTCCAGCCCAGAGCCTGGGTGTACAGGAGATGCTCAGTGCAGCACCGTCAGGCAAAAGGGTAGGAATGAGCTGGATAGAGAAGGATGAAGGGGCCTAGAAGCTGGGGAGCCCTATGTGAGCAAAGGAATGGAGACAAGAATCTGCATAGGGGTTGCGACGGGCAAAAGAAGAGCCGGCGGTGGTTCAGGAGGAAGGCTGAGACGGCCGGGTCGGGCCAGACCCCAGGGGGCCTTTAGTGACCCAACCCGAGCGCCCCCAGCTGTGTGGGATCTTGGGCTATGCCAGTGATGCCAAGGGCAGGAAGCAGATGCTGGTGCCCCCCAACGTCCGCCGCCTTGGTTGTCAGCCCTGCCCCACACAAAGCCCACCAATGATGCTGAGTTCTTTTTCTCCTCTCTCGACAGGTACGACACCATTACCAACCAGTGGGAGGCCGTGGCCCCTCTGCCCAAGGCAGTGCACTCTGCAGCAGCTACGGTGTGTGGCGGCAAGATCTACGTGTTTGGTGGTGTGAACGAGGCCGGCAGGGCTGCAGGGGTCCTACAGTCTTACGTTCCACAGACCAACACATGGAGCTTTATCGAGTCGCCGATGATTGGTGAGAGCCACCTCTCTGCTCAGCCTGGGGCCCGTGCAGCGTCCCCACCTTGGTGTTAGCTTTGTCTCAACATCCCAAGCCCAGAGGGCCAGCTAAGCCCAGTGGTTCTGCAGACCCACGTCCGGCGGCTGGGAGGGAGCGGCAAGCCCCCAGGCCGGGCAGAGCTGCAGACCCCACTCCCGGGACAAAGGGCAAGCTAGTCCGTGCACCAGGTGCCTCCTGGCCCCGGGGCCTTGTCCTCAGGTTAGCCACTGACATTGGCGGTCCTGCCAGAGCCCGTCCTCTGGAGGGGCCTACTGGCAAAGGAAAGGGTGGGGAGGGGGGAGGCCGGGAAGAGATGCCCTGACCTGCCTGCCCTGCTCTCCTCACAGACAACAAGTACGCTCCCGCCGTCACCCTCAATGGCTTCGTTTTCATCCTGGGCGGGGCGTATGCCAGAGCCACCACCATCTACGACCCTGAGAAAGGGAACATTAAGGCAGGCCCAAACATGAATCACTCTCGCCAGTTCTGCAGGTGAGGGCCGCAGGAACTCGGCTAGGGGTGGGAAGGAGGCGGGCAGGGAGGGAAAGGCTGCAGGACAGGTGTGAGCACGACAGTGGCCGCCCGCCATTGGATGACCAGAGCAATTCCCAGGCGCAGCGCCCACCGGCCGCAGGTGTGGCTATGAGGGCCAGGGCAGACTGGGAAGAGCCCGGGGGCAGCCCTTGGCCCGCAAGCCCCACCGGGGGGCTCCAGCTGACCCATCTCCAAGCCAGAAATGGAGGGCTTCGTACAGGCACCAGCCCCAGGTCGTTCGAGGCCACACCTCCGGGGATAGGTGAAGGTGCTGCTGTGAGGACAGCTGTCCCCAAGGCCGCGCCTGTGCAGTACCCTACACGGGACAGGTGGCTTTCCAAGGGATGCTCTGACCACCAGATCCGGGGAGCAGTACGAGGCACAGCTGCCTTGGAGTCTCAAAGCTGACGGGGCAGACACACACACGGACCAGCCCCCACAGGAAGAGAGAGGTAGAGGTCAGGGTGTGGCTTGGTTCCCAGTCTGCCCGGCCCCACAGCCCCGAAAAATTAACCACCTTGGGCAGTGAGACAGCAGACCCTGCTCTTCTAGCCCCATCCCTTCCCAGACTAAGAGGAACAAGGAAATATAAAAAGGAGTCCCAGAAACCCCATTTTCAACGTCTGCATAGCAGATGGTTCTTGAAGACATCTCGCGCCCACGTGGAGGTAATCACGGAACCCCAGCCCCGGCACCCGCAGTCGGGGTAGCAGAGCTAGAAAAGCTGTAACCTACTACCAGCCTATCTTAGGACCTTGGACAAGCAACTTGTGCTCTCTGGGGAAGTCGTCCTATTGGTGAAGCAGGCGGTTGGACTAGATAAGGCCCAGTTCCTGGGCCTTACCCGCCTGTCACATACTCCAAATGGTGGCGGTGTGCAAGCCGTTCTGACTACACTGTCCACCCTAAGCACACCTGGAGGTTGAGCACCACTTGTGGGGAGGACTTGCGTGCCTCATCGGAGACTCAGAGTGGGCCCAGAAAGACTTCGTGCCTGTGAGGAGATGTAAGCTGGGCCTTGCAAGAGAAGCAGGGGAAAGATGTGCCACCAAGGGAGAAATTGGAGGGCCCCAGGTGGCAGGCAACTACCGGGGCTAAGGCTGGAAAGCTCAGGTAAGATGTCTGGACCGGCACGTTCCGTTCCAGGCTCAGAATTTCAGAAAGAGGTGGCAACTTTGCAAGGGCACCTGTTCAGTGTCAGGGGACAGTCAGGGGACAAGACGGGGCCGTTAGCTGACATGGGGCAGAAACGGGGGCCGGATGGGTGGATGCAGGTGCACGTGGGACGGGGGAGCTGAGCCGCGGGAGGACGGGAAGTGCAGACGGGGCAGGCTGGGGTGCTCTGGCCGTGGGAACAGCTCACTGAGACGACAGTCTGGCATGCAACGGGAAGGCATCCCAGGCTGTCCCGGGTGCCACCCCACAGAGAGGACGCCGGGCCATCACCGGTGGGCAGAAGCAGGCCCCTGGTGCTCAGCAATCAGAGCAGGGAGCCGGGAGTCTGAGCGCCTTGGCCAGGGTGAATTTCCCGGTCAGGGAGTCAGTGTTGGGTTATGACTTGGCTCCTTATTATCCTGTCTGCCATCAGCCCTGTGAGTCGTGTTCTCTACTCGATTGGAGCCGTACGAAGCCTCTGGGCAACACAGAACGATGCTCAGTGAACGGATTCGAGGGCCCCGTACACGAGACTGTTCTCCCCACCACCTTTCGGTGGTCCGGCAGGTCCCGGGATGTCCCCCACGGCTCGGAGGGCGGTAGACGCGGGGCACCCCGACCAGCCCTAGAGGAAAGGTTTTCTTCTTGTACCGGCTCAGGTCACAGGACAGAGGCAAGCAGTGAGATCCCTTAGACCTTTGACAAAGGGGGAGAGGCAGCCTGCACCAGGCCATGGTACTGAGTCCACCTCCAGGTCAGAGGTGGAAGTAAAATGGCTAACTCTCTCCCCGCTTTCCCTGACAGCGCCGTGGTGCTTGACGGCAAGATTTATGCCACTGGGGGCATTGTCAGCAGTGAGGGGCCTGCCCTGGGCAATATGGAAGCCTACGAGCCCGCGACCAACACGTGGACCCTCCTACCCCACATGCCCTGCCCCGTGTTCAGACACGGCTGCGTCGTGATAAAGAAATATATTCAAAGCGGCTGACGTCGGCAGAAAGCCCACGACGAGACTGGACAAGTCTGGTGAGGCAGATGCCACTCACAGTGATCAATGTTCAGCAACACCCGCAAGAGGCTGATAGACACAAACAAGGGAATCACTGCGCTAAACATTTTGAATACTCTCTACATTGAATGTAGAAAATCATCCTCGCCTTTGGGGGAAATGGGGGCGTAGCGCTCCACGCAGCAGGAACCACAACCATGCAAGCAGCTGGGCCTGGGGGCTCCTGCAAAGGCACTTGCTCTGAACGGAGGCGCTCACTCTGCCCGGTGCAATAGAGTTTCACATATTTTTCAACTGGGAGAGAGAAGCTGATTTTTCCTTCCTGCAGAGCAAGCTTGATCCCTAAACAACCATAGATCAGTTATCCTATGACAATATTAGGTGTCAGGCTCTCTTTGGAATAAGATCAAAGTGTCCTTATCACTTTGATTCCTACTTTTGTTTTTAACCAATCTACACTTGTCCGTGGCCGAGAGAAGAGAAGGGACAATACTGTGTGTGGCACAAGGCCTGGGAGGCTCCTGGTCCCCGCCGGGCGGAAGAGAGGTCCGGCCACTGGTGCCGAGCCCAACGTGGCTGGAGCGGCCGTGCAGGGGCAGCCTGGGGACGGCTGGGAGAACCTTTGTCCCTCACAGGTTTTTCTACCGTGTTTTTGCTGGAGGACAGGTGACTGTGCTAGCTTTCTCTTGTCCGATATGAATTATTTAGATTTCCAAGGCATTTTCTTGATAAACAAAAAGGCTATTTTTAAGTACTGAGAGGAGGCCATGAGAGGATCATGCGGGAATTCCCAAAGCTCTTTGTAGGTTGTGCCAGAGTGGGGCATTCGCTCTAATTTTTTCTATGTGCAGAATAGAGGATCTCTCCTGGGTGGGGGTGAGGGCCCCTGTTTTATTTTTTAAAAAATGTAACTCCCAGACAGCCCCATCAAGAGCTGTGCCTCCTGGAGGCGTTGTCAAAGAAGATTCTGTTCTAGAAGGAAACCAGTCCCGGCTCATGACACCGGTCCAGCTCCCTCCATGAGGTAAAGCTGAGGACCCAGGCCGGGTGGGAAGGGAAGGAGGGAGGGAGGGAGAATAAATGTCTACAAAGCACAGGAGACTATTTTTGATATTTATAGCTATATATTAAGGCACCTGCTACAAGAGCTCTCAGGATGGGGACAGCCTTCGTAGATGAGCCATGACAGCCAAGGCCTGAGGGGCATGAGCAGAATCACTCTTCCTGTAGCAGACGAACCAGAGGAAGGGAAGCCAAGAGGGAGGTCACACCGTGGCTCATGACAGAAAGGCCTTCCTGCCAGTCCTCAGACCCTCAAACCTCACGCGGTGATCAGTTTCCATCCCAGGGCAAGAAGAGAGCTGCCGCCACTGCGCCGTTTAGTTGAAGTTGGTACCAAATATGCATTTACCATTTTTCTATCCGGGAAGTCAATTTGCCGTCATTTCATGATAAAAACCATTTCTAAGGAGAAAAGGACAGGACATGCTTTCCACCTTTCGGTATTTGAGGACACAAAATTCCAATTCCAATGTCGGGCATCGACTTCTAGCACTACAAGTGTGGCTCCCACTTGGACAAGATACCGAGCTTCGTTATGCAGTTTTTAATATTATTTATTCTTTTAAAAAGTAATAAGCACAAAACTACATACATTGTATGTCATTTAAAGTATTTATGTCAAACAGGGTGCAAGTGTGAACCCAAGGACTGGAGCACAAATTTCTAACTGCCTGGGGCAGGGCTAATGTTAGCGTCGGTGTGCATCTGCCTCCAAAGGAGGTGTTAGTGGTCAGCAAGACTCGACACAGATGACATTGAAATTCCGTTTCTCTCCTCATTTATCACACTGGAGCAAAACTGGCTATTTCTGTGAATGATATAAAACAGGGTTCTCTGTAATGGTATTGTACATAGTATATGTTTATTGTTAAGTTCTTGTTATATTATAATAAATATATTTATAGATCTAGACTCAGAAGCCAGTGGAATGCCTTTGTGCGCCACCATCCTGGCCACAGTGATGGGAAACCCCATGGAGGCCTGCTCCTTCTTTCACACATCAGCCGTCTGGGCTCCATTAGAGACGGTAGTGCAGACCTTGGTGATGAGAAAGGACAGGACTCCTTAGCAAGGGAACATACAGACCAACGCTGCTCTACTAAGGGTATCCACACAAGGCTTCCCTGGGCGCCAGGTAGGATTGCTCGCTCTCTTTCAGGGAAAGAAGTTTAAATTTAACAGGGTAGTAGGAAAAGGGAGATTCACCAGCATTTCATCCATGTGAAGAGCCCCACGCCCTCAGTCCCCAAGTCTCACTAAGACCTAGCCTCTTCTTGCAAGAAAACACATGAAGAAGGTATCAAGATAGGTGGGAGTTCTTCAGAGGACTCGGCGGAAGCCTGTGATGGTTGAGCAGACATTTGCCAAATAAATATCTGCAATGGTATCTTCAGAAACACCAGTCCTAGAGGAAAGGATGGAGAATGTGTAGAAGATTCTGATCACAAAGAGCTGAAATTATCACCTGTTATAAAAACCAAGCAATAGTTTTGTTAGTTCCTTCCTTCCCTACCCTCTTTCCCCAAATCAAGGGAAAGGTGTTCTCTGGGCCTGTGAAGAGTCTGTGTACTTTCACCATGAAAGACATGGGTGACCACTCTATCAGGAGCCCGTGTAACTATGAGAGGAGTCTCTCTTGTTGGACTCAAGCTACTACCATCAGACCTGGTGAGGGTCGGGCACAGAGGAGATGGATCACATTGTGTGTATGTGTGTGCGCGCGTGTGTGCACGTGTGAATTAAAAAAAAAAAAATCGCAACCAAAATAGGAAGAAAACAGTCAGGAAAAATATTTGCTGTCCATATGACAAAGGATTAATATCTTTATTAAAGAGCCTGTGTAATTCCATAAGAAAACATTCAGTGATGCCGGTTGTTAAGTAGGTCATAGAGAACCCCTACAAGAGGAAACATTGCTAGTTAAGTGTAAGCCAAGTTCAACATCGGTAGTTATGAAATAATGACACTTCAATAATGAGGCATTCTCTGCACCTACTAAATTAGCTTCCCAAACCTAAAAACAAAGTGGAGAGGTGCTGGGGGGAGCTCCAAGTGCTAAAGAGGAGCGGAGAAACTCATTTCAGTTCCTCAAATGGCTTCTAGAAAGCAATGTGGCAGGTGCCATGTATCAAGAGCCTAAAAGGTACCTGACCCAGTAAATCCACTTCTGGGCACCGATCAGGAAATGTCATAGAATAACTAGCTCCCACCTATTGACACTAACTTTATGCCAGACACTGTGCTAAGCACTTAAAGCATCGAATCCTTACAATTCTACGAGTTAGGTGCTAAAGACAAGCAGCAATATAAACAACATTGTAACATTCCTATTTGTATGTGATTACGATTATGTAAGATACGTATATAGATAGATAAGCTACAAAGACACAGAAAATATGTATATAAAAATGACCAGATGTGCAGTCATAAAACTATTAATTGTACTCACACAACTGCGGGCAATTTTCCTTCCCTCTTCTCCAAAATGTATATAAAGAGACATTGCTTTTCTAATAAAAGATACAGATATTTTAATGGGGAATCGAGGATAGAAAGTAAACTTTCCCCTATATTTTAGTCCAAGAAATTCTCAAAGATCATTTCTTATTTTGACCACCAGAAGCAATGGAAAAGTTAGAGTTTAGACTAAAATAACAAAGAATTACAGATGAGAAAATTGCAGTAATAATCAAGATTATTTTTTTTTTAAACCTAAAGGCTAGGGGTGAGTGGAATATATCTTTCAGTGCATGAAGATTTTCATGAAACAAATGAACTTCTTTGGGTTCTTAGAAGGCCAAGTGAGCTGAAAAGGACAATAATAAAGAAGGAAAAATTCTAGTTCAACATAAGGATAAATGTTTAGTGCTAAACTCTGGAATGGATTACCAAGATCCTTGTGAAGGGCTTTTCTAATTAAATCTCAATCAAATCTTGGTATAGCATAATTGCATACTTATCTCATTTGATCCTCTCAACTACCCTAAAAGTCACAGGGCATCTTCTTCACTCTTGAAGAAGAAACGATCTTAGAAAAGTTAAGTGAGCTATATGCAGGAATAGCTATGCCATACCCCGAGTGCTCTCCATACGTTATCACGTCCAGTCCTCCTAACAATCGCATGATGCCTATCCCTGCTGCACAGGGTCCAGACATGAAACAGGGTTGGTCTAAGGCACCCTGGCAGTCGAACCCCACTCAGTGAGACTCCAGAGAGCCCGTGCTACCTCACACAGCCTCTCCAAGACTAAGACTTCTTCCTCCTTTCCAAGCTCCCTCAGAAATCTGTACTAAGAAAAAGAATTCTGCAAATATGACAGACAAGCCACTCCATGTTAGGCATGGTCCTCTTGGGAAGCAGTTTTCCCTTTGCCTGGTAAGAATCTCAGCCAAGAATCTTGGCTTTACACAGGAAATGGTTCTGGGGGAGGGAAAGAGTCCACTGATGTAAGATATTAGACCAGTCATTGCTGCCTCATTTAAAACTCCTCCTGTGAGCCTTCACTCTGTAATAAACTCTTAAGAGGTTCCTAACATTCTTGCCGACCACAACTCTGGCCTGGGAGAGTAAAGAAAAGGGAAAAACAGCCCTGGTATTGGCTGCACCATCTTGAGCTCTAAAGGGCATATCATGACCTTAGCATCCAAGAGGTAGGTTAAAGTGTTCCCCCACCTGAGTCAAGGGACTGACAACAATGTGAAGCCAACTCCAAGACGTCTGCCTTTACCACAGGATGGCAAAAATCAGACAATCCAAATTGGGTGCTTACCTTCCCAAATCTATAACCCATGTGGCTCTGTTGCCCTCTATGTAACATTTGGCTGGTCACTTGAGTGTCTTTCCTCATGAAAGGTGAGGACAGCCTTTGAGTGGATCACACCAGGTCAATAAGACTACGTTCTCAGCAGGTGAGGGCCATGCCCTCGCCTACCCCCCACAGGGCACCTCACCCCGAGTAGTGACAGCCAGATTACTTAAACTCTACTGGCAGCATGAAAAATGTTTTGAGTTATGAGAAGTGTAAAGGCAAGGCTATGATTCTGTGCACTGCTTTGGCCATCCTTGTGGTCCACAGATGACTAAAGAAGCAACAGTTTTTGCTAAAGCATTTTTATTTGCCATATGTATAGAACTTCATTCTCGGGGAAGCTAGTGCAGACCTGTGCACCGTGGGACCCATCAGCCTGTCTCCTCAGAGTTCCGGCCTGGGGACTCTGCATCCTTGCTGGTAAAAATCAGTCTTCGGGACTCCCCAGTTCACACCTCCAGGCTCTCATACCTCTCCGTCCCACTACCTTATTCTAAAGCCCTCATGAGTTCTTGCCTTAGTTGTTGCTATAGCTTCTTTCTTATGGTTATTTTTAAAATAACAGCTTTATTGACATAAAATTCACATAGGATAAAATTCACCCTTTTAAAGTATACAATTCAGTGGCTTTTAGTATATTCACAGAGTTGAGCTACCATCACCACTACCTAATTGCAGAACATTTTCACCATCGCAAAAAGAAACCGGAGTCCATTAGCAGTCACCCTCCACTTCTCCACCGCTAGTGCATGGTAACCACTAAACTACTTCCTGTTTCTAGGAATTAGCCTATTAGGGACACATCATACAAAGGGAATCATAGGACATGTGGTCTCCTGTCTCTGGCTTCTTTCACTTAGCATAGTGTTCTCAAGATTCACCTATGTTGTAGTGTGTATCAGTTCTTCATTCCTTGTCATGGCCAAATAATACTCCACTGAGCAGATATATTAAATGGGTATATATAAAATTGATAGATTTTGGGGCGCCTGGCTGGCTCAGTTGGTAGAGAATGCAACTTGATCTCAGGGTCGTGAATTCAAGCCCCACGTTGGGCAGAGATTACTTACAATTTTTTTTTAATTGATACGTTTTGTTTTCCATCAGCTGATGGACATTTGGGTTGCTTCCACATTTTAACCATTAAGAATAGTGCTGCTACAAACTTTTGTATACTGTGCAAGGTGTTGAGATTAAATAAATTTGGGAAATGCTAGGTTTAACAAGGTTAAACAGGTTTCTTTACTACAGAACTTCTCAGGGTCAAAAACAGACTAACGTTCACTCCAATTTTACTAAAGTAGATAAACAAGGTAGTGTTTTCCAAATTATTTGGCCACAAATTGCCCCCCCACCCCCAAATCTAGAAAACTTCTCTTCTCTTCTAAAATTAATGATACAAGGGGCACCTGGGTGGCTCAGTTGGTGAAGCATCTGACTCTTGATTTTGGCTCAGGTCCTGATCTCAGGGTCGTGAGACTGAGCCCTGCATCAGACTCCACCCTGGGCGTGGAGCCTGCGTGGGACTCTCTCTTTTGCTCTCCCTCTGCTCCTCCCCACCCCAGTGCACACACATGCACACACTTGCTCTCTCAAATAAACAAACAAACAAGTTCAAACAGTCAATAGGATTCTGGGGTCAATTCATCTGACCCTCGTCTTTGAAAGATGCACAAGAGAAAGTAAAGGTAATACTGTGAAAGATTCAGAAGCAAATTCTGATTTAGAATTCTCAAAATATTTCTTAAAATAAATCGATACATTTTTATATGTTAGAAGATCCGTATTCTTTAAAGTCAACAAGTCTTTTTTCTGAACACAGCAAAATATGTTTCACTGCAATTTTCTAAGTGCCAAAAAGACTTCAGCATCTCTTATGCTGTACTATAAAAAGATTGAAATAAACAATAACAGTAAAACCACTCTACACAGCTAAAATACCCAACCCACATATCCAGTGATAGTTGCAAATGTGTGACCTGACAATTTCTGGAAAAGATTCTTGGGCATTTTGTACTTTATTTATTTATTTTGAACAACATGACAATCTTCTCAACAAGGGGACTGACAGCCACAGAGATCAGGGAACAGAGAAGTCAATCACTTGTC